CGTGATTATTTGTAGGGCTCTAAAAATCTTTTTAAGCACCTGAGTCTAAACTCAAGGGTTTTCAAGTCCTTCAAAATAAAAAATTAAATTCAAGGACTTTGAAGGACTTTCAAGGAGTGTAGGAACCCTGTAATATTCATCCATCCACAGGGTCGCCTAAGACATACCCCAAGGATTTCTCTTTTTAGTGGAAACAGCAAACGTAGCTGTATTTGAACAGAAGTTGACGATACAAATAGCAAGAATGAGTCCAGGTATTCTTTTCTCCCAATCTTTCTCCTCCTCTACTTCAATCTGGATTGTTCTTTAAGTCATCACCATGCAGAACATTTTGACCTCTCAAGTCAAGTAGGGTTAAAATTTTAATTTCTGATTTCACCAAATGATACATCTTCATATTTCAAGAAAGTCTGCAGTTACCTTGATATGATCATCTTGTGCTTTGAGAGTCTTCAGTCGTGACTGATTCAATTGATTTGATCTCTGACTAAACATCAACAATGACAGACACAGATAATTATATGCAAAGATTGTTTTCAACAGATATGTTCTCAAAATTATGTTACAAGAAAATATATATCGAATAAAGCCATGATCATCACAGGTGAGCTGCAATTTAAGCAATTGCAGAAGACTAATATATGAAATGTGTTTTGAGGTAATTGTTCTTTGTGTATGTGAAGAGAAAACTTTTCATCTTGTGGACTTTCATATCCAAATACTAAATTATTCAACAGTGCCAAACATTCAACATTAAATTATTTAACAATCTAAGGTCAGCTAAAGCTAAATGTTACACATTATGTTGTTCAATTTTGTCTTGGAGTTCCACATTTTACTTCTATTTGGTTAAAGTACTACACTAAAAAAGGAGCCATAGAGACAAACAAAGGAATTAAGGATAAATTGAGCCAAATAGATTAATTAAAAACTAAAGTACAATTTGCTTACAAACACTTCATTTTGATTCTCAGAAATCCTGTATTATGATTTTTTAATCACTGGCCCAGTTAAGAAATAAAAATGACAATCTCTTGAAAATTTTGATGACCAGAGAAATACTTACAGTACTATCATGGTAAGACAATATGTCTAGTCAGCAACATAAATAGCTCATTCTCAACAGCTCTAAAAGTTTGGATGAAAATTTTGTGGCTTGATAAATATCCCCCACTAGCCAACTTTGGTCAATAATTGTTAATTGTCACCAACTATGATCAAATCACCTACACAGCCAAACTACACTTACATCTTCTTTTGCAGCTCCACTTGCTTTTCTTTCTTTTCATAAAAATTCATTATTTTGAGACGTTCCTGCTGTACAAGCCGACCTTTCTCGATGTTGAACTCTTCTTCTGCCTGAAAAGAGACAAATTAGAAGATATTGAATGGTTTATGCTAACCATATTGGGTGATACTTTCCGTTTTGGAATTTAAACCAAGGTTTCCAATTCTTTGCTAAGGCATCCAGAATAAACAGACTTTCCCAAAGGAAAGCCCCTTTTTTGATAAAAGCCTAAGATATGCCACCCTTTTCTTTGTCTTACAGAACCTTTAAACTAAGGTAAGTTGTAACCCTAATTGCAAAAACCAATATTCCAAATACCAATTTGATCTAGAGTCAAGTGCTTTTAACATGAGCCACCAGCTCAGAAGCTTGGGCAACCACTTCCTACATTATCAATTTTAAATAAACTATTTATTTATTTATTTATTCATTTATTTGTAAAGTGTTGCCAGGAGTTGGTAAACAGTGAGTGGATTATATGGCCAAGGGAGGCATAGATGTATGACAAAGTCCACTGTATCTTTTACCTCTATTATGATATACTATTCTTTAACCTATTCCTTCGCTCCGACGAAGGGCTAACGCTCGAAACGTCAGCTTTTGTAATCATTACGGTGGCCAATTTACCATTTCAACTTTGTTGATATATCCAAATTATTTCGTTACTCCCACCGACGCAGCCCCAAACAGTTTCTTTCGAAACTATCAGCCTTTATTCCTAAAACATGATTTTGCCTTTTACAAGTACAATGGTGAGTTACGCTTATCTAGATCTCTGCATGAAAGAGTACTAGGTGTCACCTGCCACAGGTGAAAATGCAACACTTTTAAGAAAATGGTGACTTAAGACAAGGTAGTTGAAGATCTAGAGAATATGAATGTTAACATCCACCCTTTGAGCCAATGGGAATGTCAAGACATTTAAGGACAAGGGGACCATCAACGAAAGCAAGAACGGCAAGTTTTAAGGCTTAAGACTGGTGAACGGTATACACTCTGTGGTTTATTTCAAGTCAGTGCAATCACAATCAAAAAATTCTAACCTGCTGGCCACAAACAAGAAAGTGCCTGTTCTTATCGTACCAAAGACTGTGACGTCATCAGTCGAAAGGAATCGAACACCGAGTAAATGTGTAAGTGTTTCAGCTGATAATTACAATCTATTCGGGATCATAGTGAAAGTTTAGGCGTTGAAATAGACGGAATAAACGTTTTAAACGTCAACGTACCTTGGCGTCGATCTCCTCTACTTTTTCCTTGGCTTCCTGCTCTATAAATGCCATCATATGTTCGATCTAAAATACAAGCGACTCAGGTGTTTATAACCTAACTTTTAAGGTCCAACTACGGATAACCGCACCTCAGAAAAACTCGAGATGCAGGAAAAAGGGATAAAAAATGTGGAAACGTACTTGCTTTCGAACTTCAGCATCGTTGAGGGCCATCCTGATAAATAATAAGGATCGATCGTACAACTCTTAAAATAACCACTACTGTATTTAGGCAAGTTAGTTGGGAATTGATGTCGGCTTGAGGTGTATGCTGGGAAAACAAATTCTACCCAAGCACCTTCCGCTCGGTATGCTCTGTCCTTGGAGGGACTGGGGAGGAAAAAAACTGTGAA